AGTATGAATAGCGGCATTGCTGACTCTCCAGCCAGTTATTAGAGGCTGTAAATATCGTGGGAGACTGCCCATCTTTCTCCTGAGGAGCAGCTGGTGGGTTTGAACCACCTGCCTTTGGGGTGGCAGCACAACTCCTTACCCACTAGGCCACCAGAGCTCCCTTGCTTATGTTATTGTTGAGTGTTGGTGAGTCAGAACTCACTCATAGCTGGTCCTCCAGCGGGTCTTCAGAGGCAGTAAATCACACAGCAGGGGACTGCCCATCCTCCTGCTTCAGAGTAGATGATGGATTTGAACTCTGTGCCTTTGGGATTGCAGCACCAGTTTCTTAACCACAAAGCCACCAGAGCTCTCTTGTTTACCTAGAGGTCTATCTGTTGTTTGATTGTAATGTGAATGAGTTTTGTTCACCCAAAAGAGATGAATTTTGTTCCTGATTTGAAAGTTGATTAAAGGCCATATTCTCAAATGCTCCAGCAGTCTCTACAAGACCTGGAAGTCTGGAAATTGTATGGTTGGATTTTTTGTTTGTTTGTTTGTTTGTTTTGCCTGGACGCCATGAGAATTTGAAATTGCATTCTACACTCACCTCTTTTGACAAAGAGTCTACAGAATCCTTTATGAAAACATTTCTTTTATAAATGAATGGGAATCCAAGTTCTCGATCAACTTTTGCTAAAACCTCAATTAAAATTAAAAAATTAATTTTTTTCTGTTTAGTGTTATTTTTGCATTTTTAATTTTGAGATTTTAATGAAAGGTTATAGAGAACTTGGATTTTTATTCATTCATTGTTGTACATTTTCCTCCCTATCCACACTCCCAGTTTGCTTTTCTCTTTGGAAAAAAAAATTCTTTCATAGTTGCACAGTTTCCTCTCCCTACTACCCCTCCCCAGTCCACTTTGCTATGCAGCTCTTATTCTGGACTGTTGTCATGCAACTAATACCTAATCATATATTCCTTTTAAACAGGTCTTTCCCTCATCATCCCCAATGCAGTGTTCATTATTTATCCCCTTTTCTTAGCTTTCCCCCAAACCCCATGTCAATCCTGTTTTATAACAGTGCCATTATGCAGTATTTGTCCTTTTGTGAATGAGATATTTCACTCAGCATATCCTCCAGATCACCCATTCGTATATTTTACGTATTCCTTGTTTTTCAGTGCTGCATAGTATTCCATTGTGTGAATATACCACAGCTTCTCTATCCATTCATTCCTTGATGGGAACTTGGGTTGTTTGTATCTTTTTGCTATTGTGAACAACATAGCAATAAACATATGTGTGCATATTAGAGATGGCTGCCACTCTCCAGTCATTCTGGTCTCATTGCAAAGAAGTTGCTCAGATGGCAACTTCCAGTTTTTCCTCCTGCATCTTGAAGGGTTTGGATGGTGGTTTTCCTCTCCTAGGGTGAGGGCACTCAATGGAAACTGGATGGTTAAGGAATAGGAGAAGGGATTTTCAAAGCTGAGAAGACAGCCTGTGTGGGGCAAAAGATAAAGAGAAAACAATATACACTTAGGTGCAATGGGACTGGAGCAGGGAGGGGGCTGTAGTTGCAAACACAGAAGAATTTGTGAAAGGTTAGGGGGGGTTGTGCCTGGGGGGTGGTGTGTGAAGAAGGGGTGGATGAAGTGAGAGGGGAGGCACATTTGTGAATTAGAAAAACACTTGTGAACTTCCTCTCTATCCTCCCTTCCTCTCTATCTTCCTTCCTTTCTTCCTTTTTCTTTCTTTCCTCTTCTTTTTCTTCCTTCCTTCCTTCCTTCTTTCTTTTTTCTTCCTTCCCTCCCTCCCTTTCTTTCTTTCTTTCTTTTTCTTTTTCTTTCTTTCTTTTCTTTCTTTCTTTTCTCTTTCTTTCTCTCTCTTTTCTCTCTCTTTCTTTCTTTTATTATTTCTTTCCTTTTTCTTTCTTTCCCTCTCTCTCTCTCAAATAAAAAAAAGGAAAGAAAAAGAAAAATACTTGTGAACTTAAAGGGTACGAGAACCTGGCAACCAGGCCAGGAGCAAACTAGGAAAATAAGAGAGGAGCATTTATTCATTAACTCATCTGTTAACCAACAACTTCTGAATGTAAAGTTAGTGCCAAAAATAACATTGTATGATATTCTCTGTGTGTAAGGGCGCTAAGGATACATAGGGCAAAATAATTGCAATTTCAACATTTTTTACAGGTTGTGTGGTACAGTGTTACTTCATATGCTCCTAGCCGTAGTCCTTTAATCCACAGCTACCAAGTCAATTCTGATTTATAATGCCCCTGTTGGACAGAGTAATTCTGCCCCATTGAGTTTTCAGAACCAGGTGTATTATAAAGATTTCACCTTTCTCTTGTGGAGTGTCTCGTGTACACTTGCTAGCGACCAAGTGTTTTAATCACTACACAATCAGAAGTCCTTGTATCCTTTGTTATTGTTATGTGCCATGAGTCATCTGCGACTTATCATGACCTTAGGCTCAATGTCAAGAAGGCAAAGATTCTCACCACTGGACCAATTGGCAGCATTAGGATGGATGGTGAAGAGATTGAGATTGTTCACAGCTTTAGTTTGCTTGGCTCCACGGTCAACACTCTTGGCACCAGTAGCCACGAAATAAAAAAATGTATTGCGATGGGCAAGTCTGCTGTTGCCCTTTCCAAATTTCTGAAGAGCAATGGTGTCTCTCTGGAGACTAAGGTGCATCTGATAGAGGCCATGGTCTTTGCAATCACTTGTTATGCATCAGAGAGTTGGACAATGACTAGGGAGGATAGAAGGAGAATTGATGCCTTTGAGCTGTGGTGCTGGAGAAGAGTATTGAGAGTACCATGGACTGCTAGGAAAACAGATTCATCCTGCAGAGGGTTAAACCAGGCTGCTCCTTGGAGGCAACGATTCTGAGGCTTTGTCTGACATACTTTGGACATTTTGTAAGGAGGGACTGGTCCTTGGAGAGGGACATCATGCTTGGGAGGGTGGAGGGACAGCGCAGGAAGGGAAGCTGAAAGGCATCAATTCTCCTTCTGTCCTCCCTAGTCATTGTCCAGCTCTCTGATGCATAACAAGTGATTGCAAAGACCATGGCCTATATCAGGCGGACCTTAGTCTCCAGTCTGACATCATTATGCTTCAGTACTTTAGAGAGGTCTCTAACTACACTTTCCCATTGTGATATACCTTTTAATTTCTTGGCTAAGTCCCACCAAATGACTGGGAGTAACTACGCAAATGTGGCGCTCTTAGCTAACGTGGGGATTGGTTGGTTTTGCCATCATACTTAACGTGAGCCCCTCCAGAGGCAGCAAGAGGGACATCAGGACTAAAAGAAAAGCCGGAGTACAGTGTGGACACAGTCCTTGGGCTGAGGCCCTCCTTGACCAGGAGCGACAGAAACAGTGGTTAGTGACAGTGGAGACAGTAAGAGCCACTGGCAGAGAAAACAGTGGTGGCAGCAGTAGCAGAATCAAGAGGGTCAGCTAGAGACAGTGCTTCTGGGACCACAGAGCAAGAAAACGAAGCACCGTCAGGACCAGACTTACTGGCCGAGTGGCAGACCTCTGTGGACACTTATGGGAAGAGCTGAAGAGTCTTGCAACTCTTGTTCAAACAGGACAAAGGATAGGCCTGTCTCAGAGCCTATTCCTGGCCAGAGAGAAATCAATCCACGCCAACTCTTCATGTATCTTCCTTTCACCTTTACCTAGATTTGGTCCAGACCTTCCCGCATCCCCATCTCAAGGGTAAATCCTGACTGAGAGCTATCATTTTATTAGAGGGACAGCCTTTTCCCAGGGCCTAGTGCCTAATAGGGGAGAGCTGATAAGGTGGCTCGGGGGACAGGTTTGCTCCCACTTAGCACTCAGGCCAGGATGGGTCTCTTCTTCCACTGGCTGCTAAGGCAGAGATGATGTGACTTCTGGAGCAGCAGCAGCCACTCTGGGACCATGAGGAAAGTGCTGCACATCACCATAGAGAAAGAGGTGATACACCTGGTTCCCTGAAAGCTCTTTAACCACTCACTCTACCTTGGGACTTCTGGTCTTGAGTGACAATAAATAACCCAGATAGGTATTGTTGAGGACGTGTGTGTGTGCGCGTTGTGTGTGTATGTGTGAAGGTTGTGAACTCCTTGACAATTCCAGAATTGAGCTTCTCAGAAGCGACACTTAAAACAGAATTTTAAAAAGGTGAGCATGATTTTGGCAAGCGGCATAGAGTGTGGGACTTCAGAGGGAACGGTGGATACAGAGACACAGAGCCTCACATTTCTTCCCAGTGTTCCAGAGAATATATTTGGATGGAACTTGAGCCAAAGCAGGGCATAGAGAGGTGTCAGATGAGGCCAGGTGGTAGGCAGGGCCAGTCCTTGGAGGGCCTCCATGAGGCTGAGGGGCAGGGTCAGTGGTGGGTATAGACTTGGACAGAGTGTGGGGTAAGAGGCCTGAGGTGGAAGCTAGGGTTCTGGCAGGGCCCAGGCTCTGGAATTCCAAGCTGATGTGGAGGACCCTCTTGCCTTTACCATCCAGCCTAGGGAGACACTGTCCTTGAAACAGAGCTGGTCCCAAAATGGTTAGGAAAGGTCTCATGGGTCTATGCCAAGGCCCCCACCAACCACAGAGGCTAGGCCACAGGCAGCGGGCAGGATTTCAGCAGCTTTGGAAAACCCCAGGGCAGCTGAGTGAGGCCAGACCACCTAACAGGGGCCTGGGACTGGAAGGGGTTTCCCCCTAAATTTGATTCATCTGGTGAGCTTGTACATGAAGATGGCTGGACCTAGAGGGGGCAGGTGTCTCGGGAGTGAGAGGGACAGACAGACGGAGCACAGACGAAGAGCCTGGGGCTGTGAAAGCTTAGGCAGCTGAAAGAGGATGGCGGTATCTGAGATGATGTCACTCTGTCTGTCTCCCCTCTCCCAGGGGCCACACAAGACACCAGCCTCCAGCGCAGGCTTCAGAGGAGACCTCCCCTCATCAGCGGGCTGGGAGGGACCCGAACAATCAGGTCTCTGAAGATCACAAGGTCTTGGGGTCCAGCTGAGGCTGCTCTGGAACTTTCTTTTCTGAAGCATCTGTGTCCTTCTGGTCATTGGCGGGAGCTGGGACCGGCACGTCATCTGGAAATGTAGGGACGGATGTTGGCACCGGGCAGTGTGGCTCTCTCTTCCTCCGGGGACCCAGAGCTATGGGTCTGATGGCCCTATCCTCCCGGAGATGCAGCAATGTGGGTTCCAAGCTTCTTTTCTCCCTCACCCAGGGGTATGGGCTCCCCGCCACCTCCATCCTCTTCCTCCTCCTTCAGATCCAGCAGTTCAGCTCCTGGCCCCCCTTCTCCCCTAAGTCCAGGTACAGCCTCCTCATTCCTCACACCCAGGGGCATGTGTCCCCCAAAACCCCAAACCCAAACATCGAGTCCGACTCATAGGGGCTCCCCTCTCAGTTTTCTGAGACTGCAAATCTCTACAGGCGGGGACGTGCCCATCCGTCTCCTGTGGAGGCGGCTGGTGGAATCGAACCGCTGACCTTTCCATGAGTATCCCAGCATGTCGCGTGTTACGTCACCAGGGCTCCTTCCCATGGACCTAGCAATCCTCAAATCTAGCCCCCTCCTCCTTCAGACCCTGGAGTCCCATACTGCTCCCCAGAATGAGGTGTCAGCACCTGTGTTGGGCTGGAACCTGAGCTGCCCCTCAGGGCCGGCGGCGTTGGGGGCCTGTTGTTGTTGTTGTTGCTGCTGCTGCTGTTTCCGCTGCTCCATTTGCAGAACGGCCTGTGGGGGTGGGGCCACACGGACAAGGATGCTGAGTTCCCATGGAGACCCCACAGCTGCAGGGTCGTGGGCGAAGCCCTCACACTGAGGGACAGGACACAGGCCCCCCCCTCTGCTGTCAAGGCTGGGCTCATGCAGTGGGAACCTCAGGAACCCCTGAGTTTGCGATTCTGTGGCCCAAACTCAAACCACCTGTTGCCTCACTGCCCTTGTCCAACATGGCAGCTGCAGAGCTCTTAGGGAGCTGGAATACATTTGCCCTTACTCAAGATGGCTGCTCCTGGGAGCTCTGGTGGCCTAGTGGCAAGGAGCTGCAACTACAATCCCAGAGACGCACGGTTCGAATCCACCGGATGCTCTGCCGGGGAAGGAGGGACAATCTCCTCCTGTACCAGTCAGATCTGATTTGATGGTACACACAAAAAAATAAAAAATAATTTTTTTTTTAAAAAAAGATGGCTGCTCCTACTCAAGGCTCCTTCTCAGTGGTTAAGTTGGGAGGTGACAGCCCTTAGCAGCCTCTGGACACTCCTAGTGACGTGGGCAAGGGCCACTGGGGAAGCAGAAGGGAGGCCCAGGCCCCCCAGGTGGTCACCTGCTGCAGCTCTCTCTTCTGGGCCTCCAGGTGGCCTTGGGAGCGGCCCAGAGCCTCCGTCTCCTGGCTGAGACGCTGGGCCTTGGCATTGAGCTCGGCCTCCCGGGCGGCCAGCTCCTCCTCAAAGTGCCTCAGCTCCTCCTCGGTGTAGGCAGGGTACGTCTCCACTGTCTGCGATGGGGGCAGAGACGGGGCCATCAGTGGGGGTCCCCACCCATGGAGGAGATCAAAAGGGGGCTGGGTGGGGTAGTGAGACCTGAGTAGGATCAAGATCGGGGGGGTGGGGTGGGGTGTGTCAGAGGCCATAGGGTGGACAAAGACCCAGACAGAGACCTGGAAGGTGGACAGAGACCCTGAGAGAAGAGAGGAGACCTGGGGCTGGGTGAGATGCAGGACGAAGCCTGGGAGTGAGGTTAGAATCCCCAAAGATGCAGGAGTAAGGGGACCAGGGAGCCACCAAGAGCAGGTAACAAAGACCCCAGGAGAGAAGAGGACAGAAATGTAGAGGGCGGGCAGCGTAGACTCATGGGCCCTGAGCAGGAGGGACAGGGCAGAGGATCCAGAGAGAAGCAGACCAGGGAAGGAAGAGCTCCCCAAAGAACGGGAGGGAGATACAAACAGAGGGGTAAAGCCCTTACATCCCAGGTATCGGCATTGTCTCCAAACTCCTTCCTCTGGGTGGAGGCCAGGAACTCCTCCAGGGTCACCAGGCGGTCCTGATTGGTGTCCACCTGATTGAGGACCCAGGTAAAGGTTAGAGGCAGATCTGGGGGGCCCCCTCCCCCTCCACGGCCAGGGTCTCTGCTCACATTCTTCATCACGTGCTCTCGCATGCGCAGTCGCTCCTCCTCCATTTCCCGCATGTCATCCTCCTCGTTCTTTGGATCATACACCTTCTCCAACTGTGGGGGCCGAGGGAGAGGGTCAGACCAAAGAGCCCCAAAACCATCCTGGTCCCCGGGGAAAGGCTGCTTCTACGGGCTGGAACTCCAATTCCCAGCAGGCCATGGGGCACCTGCCACTCATGGCAGGCTCTTCTTGTCCCGGGGGCTGCTGGGAGTTGTAGTTTCCCCTGAACTTCGAGCCTGAGGGACTCCGTGGGGGTGCACGTGCTTGATCAAGGTGTCCCCCATACCCACCCATAGCTTCCAGGACGCTCACCTCCTTGGTGAAGAGAGCCTCCAGCTCCTGCTCATCCAAAACGCCATCGCTGTTGATATCTGAGGGGAGATAAGGGATCCTGGGGGGAAGGCCGACTGGCAGGTCGGGTCCCCAGGAGACCGACTAGTGATGGAATTTGGGGCTGATGTGGGGACTGTTAATAGAAGATAGATAATAGGAGGTCTCTGGAGATCAAATGATGGCCTTGAGCGCATCACCAAGCCTGTTGCTAGTTTCCTAGCAACCAGGATGGAGGCGGGCCATTCTGGGGGCAGTTGACATACATTAACCTCCAACTATAGGCACAGAGTCACCTCCTTTCCCGGGATCCACGTGTCAGGGGCCTCTGTCTCCCAGTTCTGGTTACTGGGGAAGCCTCTCCCCCATGCCAGTCTAGTTCTTGGAGCCCAAAGGCTCCAGGCTATTGGGGTTCAGTGACACCCCTGCCCGTTACCCATCTTCAGTCCTCTCAGATCAGCACCAACACTGCTCCTATCCAGCTTGAGCCCTGAGCCCTTGCAAATGCAGTGGTAAATTTCCAGCTCATATTTTGCTTGACTTGCTGCTCCTCTCCTCTGTGGCTGCCCCTCTCATCTCCTCTGCCTGCTTCTCGCTGTTCCTCATTTCTATCCAAGAGTGCACCCCAAAGCTTAGGACTCAGAATTGACCGAATGGCAACAGACTGCCGTTTTGGTCACTTGCCACTCGGCAGGTAAATGTATAGTGATCAAGACAAAAATCACACTATATATCGTCAGTCACAGTCACCACATGGAATTGGGGGCCAACAGACTGGATAACCTAGACATGGAACCCTGTTCAGAATCCCAGGACTGCACTTCTCTAAGTGGCCTCTCTCTCTCTTTTTTTTTTATAATTCTTTTTTTTAATTATTAAATTTTATTAATTTTAATGAACATTTACAGAGATTTTGGGTTTTCATTCATTTATTGTTGCACTATTTTCTCTACCCTCCTCCCCAGTTTGTTCTTCTTTTTCATTCCCCGCCTTGAAAGTCTGTTTTAATTGTCCATTTGCCACAGTACTTGTCAAAGCCAGTTCTGATTAATCTCCTTTGTCAGTGTGTCCTTTGCCATTCCCTATCACTCCTCCCTGAGAGAGACTTCACCCTGATTCATAAGGAAAAGGGGACAGCGTATTCTCTTAGGTACTTAAGTGGCCCCTCTTGTCTATCAGTTGCCTTTGAAATGTCCCAAGGGCTACCCTCCCTCTTCATCATTGTCTAATGTCCCATCGGACAGTGCTGGTCTACCAAAGCCTTGAGCATTCCAGCGAAAACTCTCAAGCGTCGTCCCTCAAGTCTGCTGGGTTCTTTTCCGAACTACCTACTGCTGTTGCGTTAATCCTGACTCACAGCCTGCAACCCTCCGTCATGTTCCCAAGGTGGTTGATCTTAAGGGGAGGTGAAGGACAGCGCATCTTTCTCCTGGAGAGAGGCTAGTGGATTTGAAACATCAGGGACATACTACAGTAACGTACTAACGTTCTATGTTAGCAGAGCTTCTTATTTTGCTTTTTTCTCCCTCCATAGCAGGTGTTACGTCATGAGACTTTTCTGGTAGATTCTATTTGCTTGATTCTAAGATGCATTTTCTTAAGCAGTCCTGGTAGCAGTGTCTTATGTGTTGGGCTGCAGAGGAACGGCAGGGGACTCGAATTCACCATCTGCTCCATGCAGGAACGTGAGGTAGTCTCTGTCTGATAAGATCTGTAGCCTCAGAACTTGATGAAGGATTGCTGTGAATTGGAACTGATGTGGTGGCTCTGAGTTTGTTTGGTGTTTTTTTGTTTTTTTTTTAAATTTTATTATTTTTGTGTGTGTGTATTGTCGAATCAGATCCGACTGGTACAGGAGGAGATTGCCCCTCCTTCTCCAGTGGAGCATCTGGTGGATTTGAACCGCTTGCCTTCATGATTGCAGTGCAGCTTTTTGCTACTAGGCCACCAGAGCTCCCTGAGTTTGGGGTTTTTTTGTTTGTTTTTTTTTAAATTTACTTTATTTCATTATTTTTTGTGTGTACTGTCAAATCAGATCTGACTGGTACAGGAGGAGATTGTTCCTCCTTCTCCAGCAGAGCAGCTGGTGGATTCAAACTGCATCTCTGAGATTGCAGTTGCAGCTTCGTGCCACCAGGCCACCAGAGCTCGCTGAGTTTGGTTTTTAAGATACACTTTCTTAGTCATACAGTGGATTAAGTGTTGGACTGCTAATCAAAAAAGCCAACAGCTCGAACCTACCAGCTGCCCTACCATAGAAAAGATGAGGGATTCTCTTCCTGTAAGGAATTCTAGACTTGGAAACCTTCCAGGAGAGTTCCAGACTGTCCACAAGGTCACGATGAGTCACAATGGACACAGAGGTAGTGGGTTTGATTTCTGGCCCCGACAGATGTTATTACAGGGGGCAGCTTATGTCAAATTCTAGCTCATCTTGAAGTCAACACCCTCACCATCTGACATATAGAATGATCTGTTTGTTGGGTTGCCAGGTCTGTGAGAGGGACAGCTGGGTTTCACAAGATCTCAGACAAAGCTGGGTGCCTGGAGAGAGCCTGTTAAGGGTTTGATAATAAATGAATCAGACCTTGTTATAATCCATTGATAGGCTATAGATTCTGACTCAAGCCCTGGGCAGACCCGAGGATACCTGGCAATTCTGGGCCTCATTTCTAGATGTAGGCTGCCTAGGCCTTTGAAGGCTTGGTTCCAAAGGGTGGGAAACAGTCCACACCCTTGGCTATAGGTTCCAGAAGGAACCAGGCTTCTAGCTTGCGGTGAGAAAGGCTCAGCCCAGCCAAAGCTGACTCGCTTAGAGAGGACACCAGCCAGTCTTATCCTGGGGATGATTTCCATCTTTTCCTGAAAAGTCCTGGCCCTGGCAACAGGAAATGCCCAGGGACTTCTGACTAAGTCACTGGGACACTGAGAGTTCCCTTTATCAGGCAGACCCCAAAAAGGCCAGCACCACGAGGATCTTGTGTCTCCCTCCCTATCTTACCATGCAGTATGAAGAACGTCTTGGGATTAAACCTGTTGGGGTCCAGTCCGTCCAGCTCCTCCCACACCTCCTTCAACTGGGCTTGGCTGCCCTGTGGAAAGGAAGGCCAGGGCGTGTGAGCCAGAAATGCAAAAAGCCGCCACCTGTAAAACTATAATGATGTCCCAAAAACTCTTCGTCCCCTACCAGGCAAGTGGCATGCAGTTCAAACCAGAAAAATACAGCTCCCAAGAGGCCCCGGGGCAGGTAGGTATAGAAAAAGGTGCTCCTTTGCCTCAGGGGCTGCTGGGAGTTGTAGTTCTTTGGCTACTGTCAGGGTGGGCAACTTGGACATAGTAGGGTGGGGAGGAATGGGGGTCCTTACAGGTACATTAACTTTGGGGTGCTCTCGGTGCCGGCGCTGTTGCTCTTCCAGCTTCTTCTCTGCCTCCCTCCGTTGCTCCTCTCCCAGGGATTCCAGATAACGGCGCCTCTCGTGTTCCTTGAGCATCTCATAGCGCTTGAACTCTTCGTGATGGACGGCGTCGTACTGAGCGAGGTCCCGGGTGGCCTGAGCGACAGCAGAAGATTCCACTCGTCTTGCCACCCCCATGCCTAGTCCATAAACCCAACCTGCACACGCCTGGACCACAGCGCTCATCCTGGCCCGGGTCTCCCCAACCTCCACCCTCTCCACGCCTCACTTTTGTCATATTCACGATTCATTCCCCAAAAAAAGCCCTGGTGAGTTGCAAATAGAGATACCATTTGACCCAGCAATTCCACTACTGCGAATATACCCCAAAGAGACCATAACTGCCACCCAAGCAGATATATGCACACCCACGTTTATCGCGGCTTTGTTATAGCAAGGAGTTGGTGCCCATCAACACACAAATGGATAGAGAAGCTGTGGTATATTCACACAATGGAAAACTACGCTGCATTGAAAAACAAGGAACTAATGAAATATTCCAAATGGGTGACCCTGGAGGACATTATGCTGAGTGAAATATCTCAGTCACAAAGGGACAAATACTGCATGGTGCCACTGTTGTAAAACAGGACTGACATTGGGGTAGAGGGGAGACTGAGAAACATGGGATAAATAATGCGTATTGCATTGAAACAGATGAGGGAGAGAACTGTTTAAAAGAGATATGTGATTAGGTATTATTGTCATGGCCAGAGCGAAGGCTGCATAGTGGAGTGGACCTAGGAGGAGGGATTATAAAACAATGAAAGAATTTTTTTTTACTTTTCCAAGAGAAGAACGAACTGGAAGGGTGGGGTGGGCAGGGAGAAAAGCGCAACAATGAATGAATGGAAATCCAAACTCTCTGTACATTTTCACTGAAATTTAAAAAAAAAAGAATACCTGGTGGGGGAATGGTTAGCCCTCTGCTACTAACCCCAAGTTTGGTGTTTCAAACCCACGAGGGAGCAAAGACTTGGGTTTTCTGCCGCCAGAAAGATTATAGCTCAGAAAACCCTATGGGGGTTTCTATAAACATTACAGACTTTGGCAGGTGTACTATGACCTAAAAGAGCTGCTATGAGTAAGAATCCCTCAGAAAACAGCACTGGGGGCATTCTGGCCCCGAACCACACACCCTCCTGCTGAAAAGGAATTGTGATGGTAACACAGCGGCTAACAAGAAACCTTAGTTGGCTTCTGTCAGAGTTCTCAAGGTCTTCGGGGAATACCAAAATCACTGCTGTCCAGTCAAACTTGACTCAATCAAACCCCAGGACGTAAGGGAATCAGCTGCCAAAGCTGTAAATATTCGTGGAAGCCGACTGACTGATCTTTTCCCCAGAGATTGGCTCCTGGGTTCCAAATGCTGATTCTCTGATGAGCGCCTGAACGCCTAAACCCCACAGCACCACCAGAGCACTTTTCTTGGAAGAATAGTAAATTAAAAAAGAAGAAAATAAGAGGCGAGCTCTGATGGCCTAGTGGCAAGAAGCTGCACTGCAATCCCAGAGGTGAGCGGTTCAAATCCACCAGATGCTCTGCTGGAGAAGGAGGAACAATCTCCTCCTGTACCAGTCGGATCCGATTTGACGATACACACACAGACAAATAATAATAATAATAAAAAAATAAGAAAAAGGCAAAGGACATTAAGTTTTTTTAAAAAAGGAGATATACACATACCTATGTTCATTGTAGCATTCTTTATCATAGTGAAAAGCAGAAAACTCAAATGTCCATCACTGGGAAAACGGCTATAGAAACTATGGGACATTCACACAATGGAATTTGATAGAACACTAAAGAATGATAAACGGTCTGCTGGAGAAAGAGGAACAATCTCCTCCTGTACCAGTCAGATCTGATTTGACTGTACACACAAAATA